AAAAAAAAAAAATAGATTCATTTCCTGAAAAAAATTGGTATCTCATTACTGGCAGAGGAGTTTTATAATTTTATCTTTTAACTTGCACAAAGGCCCATTTTAAGCACTTCTATCCATGATGGATGAGGAAGTTCCAGCCTAAGGAACTAGGGAGGTGGGAAGACAAAGGTTATCCAGTGTAGAAGGAAAGGTCAACTGCCCTTACTCTCAGATAATGTGACTTTAGACAGAGAAAATTGTGACAATAAGTAAATTCAGTAAAATTGTAGGATAAAGAAATCAACATAGAAATATTCAACACATTTTATACACTACTAACAAACTTTCAAAGAAGAAAGCAACCCACTTATAATACTATAATAAAATAAAGTATTTAAGAATAAATTGAACAAAGATGTCAAAAGTCTGAATATTGCAAACTATAATCCACTGATGGCAGAAGTTGAAGAAACAAAAGAATGGAAATCTATGCATGATTTGACATCTGTAAATGTTCCTACTACAATGGTTATCCAGTGTGGAAGGAAAGAAGGTCAACTGCCCTTACTCTCAGACAGTGTGACTTTAGACAGAGAAAATAGTGACAATTCAACACATTTTATGCAAATGTGTTGAACTGTCACTATTGGAATGAGTGAAAGTGTACCTTCAATGCACTCCTATCAAAATTCTAACATTTTTTACAGAAATAGAAAAAAATCAAAATATACATGGAAACTTTACATAAAAGAGCTCCAAAAGGCCAATCTTCAGAAAAATGAGCAATGCTGGAGGCATCATTATAATACCTCATTTTTGAAATCTACTACAAAGCTATGGTAATCAACACACAGGGTACTGGCTTTCAAAACCGTCTTATTGGACAATGTAGCAAAATAAAGTACTATGAAATGAATGTATTTAGAATAATTTGAATTTTGAGCATGGTCTCAAGAGTACACCAAGTAAAAGGAATTCTGTCTTGAATAAATTGCATGAGATAACTGTATATTCAAAAACTCAACTCAAAATGTATGACAACGTTCAACATAAGAAATGAAAATGAAAAATTGGGGTTGGGGAGATGTCTCAGTAGAATAAGTGCTTGCCTGGCAAATGCAAGGGTCTGAGTTCAATCCCCAGTTCTGCCAAAAAAAAAAAAAAAAAGAA